CTCAATGTATTTTTGACTCGTGTGTTAAGTGTTGTTGATGGCACCATTTCGAGATATGCTCTGCAACTAATCGCGCTCCCTGTCGTAATTGCTTCCATATTCCATGTCGCCGGCGGCAGAAGCGAAGAAACATATGGAATCGTGACTGTTTGACCCGGAACAATTAAGCTTAGTCTGTTCCCATAATTAAGCTTTGATATGTCTTCCACGGCGACACCAAGGTGTTCTGCTGCATCGATCGCATACTGATCCTTTTGGACTATCCACAATCCCTTGCGCTCAGGTTTACACGCGCTTACCACAGCGGCGCAGGCAAAAAGTAAAGATAGAAACATTTCGGAGAGCAGCTATAATACGAAGGCGAAGAGATCTGCGAGCTTGTCGTGCTTTTATAAATGCGTATCACCGGCAGAGAAGTCCATATTTGGATCAGTGCGGAGGCCATTTGCGGAGGCGACAACTTCGCAGTCCTCGGTAGTCTGCGGCTTCCTAAGCACGCGAGTACAGTAGCCTTATCTCACAATTGTTACAATAATTGAACCAGCCAATTCGAGGACCAAATCCTGCACCACGGACAGCGCCTTTTGGCTCAAGATAGCAGCTGTTTTCTGTCTTCAAACAACTTGATGATGTGAACGCAATGGAGCTATCTTCCAAGCCTGCTTGAGCCTTTGACAAGGAATCAGTTCAAAGTAGCGGCATGTTCAAGCGTGAAGGCCCCAAGTCTATCAAGCTAGAAGCGGCGAATATGACGAAAACGAACCTTCAGAGGACAGTTGAGACATTCGGCAACGTGATTCAGAAGATTGAAGAGGTATTATTAGACTACAGTTCACCCAGCAGCCTCAAAATGAGCATATATTTTGCGGATTATTCCCCCGTTCAATTTCAGGCTTCTCGTTTTCTCGACCCTGGTCCTGTCGGAGCTTGATACACACGTAATCCCGCAGAGAGTGCTAGCCTTCCGTAGCGTCATCGCGCAACCCGTCTTGACGCTCAAGCTACTGCACTACGTAATGTGAAGTTACGGGGTACACTTCTAAAACTAAACTCGCCTAACGTCAATAAAGAGGTATACCATTTCGGGCGTGGTCGTTGCGTCGGTGTTCTAAAACTCGGTGATGTTACCCGGGACGGCGGAAAGCGCCTAGTGGGCATTACGAAGGTTAAAAGATAGTCATTTGCATTTATTATAGGAATGTGTGGGAATGTAGCATATAGCTATAGTAGGATTGTAAGGGAGGTGCGCACACACGCACACGTGACCCTTAGCGTCACGTGTATGGACCTCGGGGATCCGTGTATAAAGGGCACGTAGTGTGCCCCCTCATTCCCTTTCCTCCCTTCCTAGCAAGACATCTTGAATACAACCCATTGCGTTACTGCAGTACAGACCTCCCGACAGAATGGGAGCCAGACAAAACCCCAACAAAAAGTATTAAATGTGAAGCGGGTTACGATGCTTGCGAGAGTATTAAATGATTGAGCACATGAGATATCTATTTTTGTCCTTTGCGCTACTTCCTGTCCTTTTTGTTTCCTTGCGCTACGTCTACCTAAAATCGACCCATACGATTCTTCTAATTCCTCAGTCAGGTGAAACCGCGTAACTGATCTCAATCACGACATGTTCCCTCACCATAATGGCCGTCGCTGTTGGCCCCGTCTTGCTTTGGAGGAAAAACATCAAGGGTCGAAATGGAAGTTCGCAGCAGAAACTCCGACGTATTCACTCGGCAGCCGTCGGTGTCAATTGATCAACAACCAACGGCAGCAGCTGACGTTGAAGACCCTTGAAAGACGAATGACAACGCAATCAGCAGCGTGCTCGCGGCCTGTTGGGCACTCTTTCCAGTCAACCCACTTCCTGGAATGGGGGCAGGAGTTTGGCGCTTCTCGAAAGATGACGAGATATGCCTCGCCATGGGTCCGTCAGCCCTTCGTTGAACTGATGAGATTCGGGTGGGGCGATAGCTTCGCCCACCAAAATGGCTCTAGATGTGACACTGCACAACTTCCATGTTATGTGGCTCGTTGGCCGTCCCATGAAGATCTCACGATGCCTCTTCTGAAGCGTTTAGCCGACACCGACACAAAAGCAGAAGCAGGAGAAACCCCCGAGAATCGGAGAATATCAAGTTATCGGCTTCTTCTCGAGCATGTTGCCAAATCGGGTTGTCTGCTGATCAGCATCGGGTTTCCTTGACTGGAGGGCAGGCCCGGGAAGGAAACGAAGTCTTTGACCGACGGGCATGGGAATAGTGTAAGGCGCACACACACAACGAAACAGAGAGTGAAGAACGGGGGCCAGTAATGCAATGGATTGATCTCTGACGAGCTCCCTCAGAGACTATGCGACCCTACTTTATAATCACGAGATGCCTCCCAGCCCCGTGCTTTTCTCTGGAAAAGTCACTCCAGCCAGTAGTTGGAATTAACCAGCCATCTACCGTGGTCAAGCACTTTAGGCGCGTGACAAATAGGGAGCACGCACTGTCGTTGGTATAAGGGAAAGGAGCGAGGGGGGTTTAAGGGTTGTTTTGGACAACATTCGCTATTCTACTCAGACTCAGTATCCATGACAAGATGGCTACATCTACTTGCCTCTTTCCCCCACGCAAGTTGGCCAATATCGCTCGCAGTGATATCCTCGGCCTCTTCCAACGCCCGCTCTCTCTGGAGGTCGTCAATGAACATCCATGTTGGCTTCCAAATGGCATCGTATTCGATTGATCCGTTCGATGCCTTCGGCACCTCTCCCAAAAAGTCGAAATGCGCCTCTTTCGAATACAATATAAAGTAGTATCAGCAGCGCGTGGCGTAGATTCCCTCCTCCGCTAAGTTCGGCGCGTTTTGGTTACCTCGGACTTTTCGGGGGCCGTAGTCGCTTCAGGAAACGCCTGCATCAGGTCGCTCGCTGCCAACGACACGCAGGAGAAAGCGTTACGAGGGAAAGCTTTCATCCAAGGTGAATGGAGCTATGTATATTTTACAGTCGAAAGGCTAGTAATGGCAGCTGCGTGGCTGCTGCTAACGATAGCAGCAGCCCAGACATTTTCTGACTGCAGCGGAAAGAGAGCTTTGGCGTTACTGCGCTCTGTACGCGATCAGTAGCTGAACGCGGGTGAGTTTGGGCGTGCAACTTTGAGGCTCCCGAACTACTCATATAGGTCGAGTAGATCGGCGGGGTAGGTGTCGACCGACATCTACCTCCGTCGGCCGTCCCTATCGCGCCACATCGGCATAGCCGAGAGAAGACAAGAACAAGCAGCGGCGTGAGTATAAGCGGTGCTTTTCGTGCGTATTGTGCCGCGCAAGCCTCTAATGACAAGATCAAGATCAAGGTCGCGAACAGCTTCGTCTACAGAGTCGTTGTCGGCGCCAATACGTCCATTATCAATTGGGCTGTCGTTAGGTTCACGCCAAGGTATCAGGTCGAACGAGTTTTCGGGTTGATGAGAAATACAGTCTAAGTGACGCTCATATTGAAGGTCTCACGAAGAAAGTCAGCAGAAAGGGCCTATGATGCAGAAATGTGTACAGAGGCAGCCTTCAAAAGTTATCGGCCACGCTAAATTAGACCCTGTAAGGAAAAGGAAGTAGCAAAGTAAATAGAGTGCCCCGCACGCGATTTTGTATGGCAGCCGCCCCTCCGCCTTTCTTAACATTCCCGATAACAATAAGGCGAAAAACAGATATCGCGACTCGAGCCCTCATTGTGGTGCTTCGAGGCGGCGGGAAATCGGCTGCTGAAGTTACTGCCTTGACTGGCGTGCCTCTTAGAACAGTTAAATGTATCTATACACGAGCTCTTCAACGCGGCTTTAAGCCAGATGCGCTGCCCTTGACCCTTCGAGACGAGTGGCTCTAAGATGCCCCTCGTTCTGGCTGTCCTCTAAGCAGCCTACAATCCAAGATGAGGTTCTCACGAAGGTCGCCGCGATAGATACGGAAGGGAAAAAAACTACGTTGATATTGCTAGCGAGCTGAGCTTAGCAGGGCACCCGGTCTTAGCAACGACTATATGGCGAGTCCTCCGCTTAGCAGGCTTCCGGAAGACGAAGCCTACGAGGAAGCCAGGCTTAACGAAGAAGATGCGAAAAGAACGACTAGCCTGGTGTCTTAAGGAGCTACCGCAAGAGAAGATACAGGCTTGGATTGAACGAATCCCTCGTTATGTGCAGAAAATAATTAAACTTAAGGGCGGCAACGAATATCGCGAGGGCAGGCTAGATTAGGTATAAGCTGGGAACGGTGCTATAGTAATTTGGTTGCTACTTCCTTTTTCCTTACAGGGTCTAATTTAGCGTGGCCGATAACTTTTGAAGGCTTCCTCCGTAGTTGTGTGTATTTTTCTCTCTCTTTGTTTCTGCCTAAATCCAAGCCCCTATTTATATCCCTCTTTCGTATTATAGGTATAGGTTTGAGAGAGGCTGGGGACCCCAGCCTCCTCGACTAAAAACGCTCCAGTCTTTTAATAGGAGCTTTCCAGCCTTCTCGTTAGACCCGGTTGTCAGCTCCTTGTTGGCCTAGCTACCCATGGGTGACCTGGCTGACTCAACCAAGAGACGTTCTTCGCGACAGAAGGAGGGTGATGAAAATGAAGGGCGGGCCCCTGCTAGTGCTCACCGTAGATGATTGTGAATTAGCGCTAGTGCACCAAGTTTGATCCAGTTGGTGGTGACCTGCTACAAACCCTGGCATATCAAATAATGGGGTGTCACAGGTCCCGGGGCCGGCCGACCGGTCATCCGGTAATCGGATTACCGCCCCGCCCCATGCAAAACCATGTCGTTTTCGAAGGCCCGGCCCTGCGGGGCTGGCGTTTTCTTAGTCGGATTACCGCCATCGGACGGCAAAATCGAAGGTCCACGCCCGCGGGGCCCTGCGCGAGACCTTCGATTTCGGTCTCGCTCACGCGCGTTGCGCTCCACCTCCCTCCTCCCACCTCCTCCTCCACCTCCTCCATTGCCACCGTCGCGACGGCGACCGCCTGCACCATGTCGAACGCGATAGAGGATCCCCGGGTCAGGGCGGCCATTGAGCACTACCTGTTAGATCTGGAGAACACCCAGCCGAAGAATACGAAGCGAAATTATCGTCCCAAGCAGGAAGAATGGAAGGCAAGCCCGCATGCGCGCCCTGCAATCTTCATGTAGATCCATGCATTGACCGCCTCACAGGAGTGGTGTCAAGCCAACTGGCCTGCGATCCCGGACGTTTGGCCGGCCTCGGTACCACAGGGCCAACAGCTACCGGGAGACCTGGTCGATGAAGGAAAGCTCTTGCTCTTCATGAAGGAGGTAGTGGCATCACGTCCTCCAAAGAAAGGAAAGAGGGTCGCCGATGAAAGAAAACGACACCTCGAGGCTCAGGAAGCCAAGAGGGCCGTGAAAGACGCAGAGCACCATCAGGTAACAGATGTTGATCACGGGATGTGGTCGTCGGACTGAGCCAGCCCATCATACTAACACCCAGCTTCCCCCAGCAGATACCATCGTTGTAGGCGGCGGAGGTAGCGAATACGAGTCAGACTCCGACTTGGAGTTGTATGAGTCCACGCTCAAACTACAGTATAATACTGTACGGGGCTACGTCTCGGCCATACAGAAGCTTTACGACGAGCAGAAGAGCCGGGAGTCAATCCTGCGGCCCGGCCACAGGAGTGGCACTGAAGGCGCTCAAACGCAGCATTCTTGCAACGACTTGGAGCCGGAAGAGGAAGGAATACATGGACAGGGGAGTTGGAACTCTCAGAGATGTGTATGCGCCGGCGCAGATACCCGACCACACCAACGTGGCATGGTCCGAGAGGAAAGAGATCGCCTGCGCCCTGAGGACGCAGGTGGACTTTCTGCTCGGGAACCACATGCTGCTGCGGTCCGGCAACCGCCTGCCGATGGAGTTGGCAGACTGCTTTCCCCTGGACTTACCCAACGAGGGCTGCAAGGCCCAGGGGTATACCACGAAGGCGCTGGTTGTCGTGATGAACTGTGGGAAGACCAACCAGCACGGCCGCATGGAGTATGGATCTGCTCTGCGGCATCGAGATCCGCGGTCTTGTCTCATCGGCGCCCTCGCGTTCTGGCTTTTCTGGCGCTGGCAGGTAGAAAGGCGGAAAGGTTTCCGTCTTCCAAAGAAGCGAAGACTGGTATGAAACGAAGGTGCTCCGCCGATCGGCGAAGGAGCCTCAAGGTAAGCGTGATGGCATTCACCGGAATCCCAAAACTCAGAGGGTGCATCGACCCTTTCACTCACCGAATATACAGCTCCGTTGTCGGGCCAGACTGCCCGAGAATGGACGTCCAGGTTCTACAAGAAGGCCGGCATCAAGGTCTCCAAGGTCAGCCATGCGCCTAGAGTGGCCGCGACGCAAAACGCCGACATGGCCGGAGTGGATGAAGGCCAGGCATGTCATCTGCCCTAGGCAAGCCGCGCCAACCCCCTGGCCTGGGCTGACCCGAACTATACAGATCCGCCGAGCCGGTCGTTGGAATAACGGAGACCAAATGACCGGCTGCTATCTGACTTCCTGCCTTTCGAATTCATGAGGGCCGTGGCCGACTTTGACCCTGAATAGTCGGGGTCTTATTTCGTGCCCGGGCCACCGTAAGGCCGCCTGTGGTGCTACTCGTGCAGGTCTGGCCTCAACTCGACAAATGGAAAGAGGCCCACAGTAGCCCTTTCTCAGATCTGGGGTGGAGCAGAACATGGCCGCCGGCGCCTTCTTGGAACTCCTGGAGTGGCTTCGAGAGGTGCTCCTGCAGGACGCTGTCTTCCTTCGCGAGTCCTACCCCGACCATCCTATCTTTCAGGATCCGGTCTTCTCTTGCCCCGAGTTTGAAGCGTTCGCCAGCAAAGTTCAAGACACATGCACACGGGACCACGAAGACAGCCATACCACGGTCATTCAAAAGCGATGCCGGTGGTTGCGGAGAAGCTGCGCACAGTACTGACTCAACAGGTCGCAGCCGAGCAGTTAGCTGAGCGAAGACATCTAGACCTTTTGGGGGCTTCTTACGAACTATGCACAAAGTTGGATGAGTTTGCGCAGGCCACCTACACCGTCACCTTCAGCCCCGGCCAAGGAGCTGCAGGTCAACATGCGGAGATCGCGGAGCTCATCAACAGAGGCGCCGCGCTCCACGAGAGACGGTCCTCAGGTCCGAGATAGGCCCTTCGCAAGCGGGCGGTCCGGCATACGCTCCGCTCTCTAGAGCAGCAGGGAATGGTGCAAGCGGGCCAGGGGCAAGCCCAGGAAGAGCGCATGGCGAGCCGCCTGGGCCGCGCGAACCTCCGAGCTTCAAGCTCCCCGTTCTGTCAAATCTGTACAGGAGCTGCTGCGTCTCTGGCGGCAGGGCTGGGGCGAAATGCCTTCTGTGGATTCTCTTGAGCGAGACTGGGGTGCTCGATGGCGGCCATCTGCAGAGAAGAATTACTTTTCCACGCGCAAGATCATCGTCGATGAGGTTCGGAGGCGGGCCCAGTCGGACGGCTTAACTGAAGATATCGTGGCGAGGCAAATGGACGAAGAACGTGGACCCAGCTCTTTGGATAAGTTGTTCAAGGCCATCCGAAAGGACAGGCAAGGCGAAAAGGGACACAAACGTGCGTCGGGGCAATTCAACGTCGGTGGTAGCGAAAAGTCGATGGCGCAGTGATTTTGAACACCCGTCTGATAGAATGACGAGGACCTTGGCGGCGAAAGTGCCCCAGGCCGTCAGGGGCTGCGTCGCTACAGTCAGCGGTAGTGGCCTGTAGACAGGGTATGCATCCGCTAAGCGCCGCTGTAGCTCCAGCGCGTCAAGGCTAGAAAATGCTTCAAATCACCGCAACCTCGCAACCGACAGGATGTAGGACCTTAGACAGGGTGCATTCTGATCGCACAAACGCAGGCTATCCAGTCGAACTGGTTTTCTCGTCGTCGGTCCCGGCTTTCGCGTGTCAAACCTTGCCACGCTAAACCTTGCCACGCTAAACCTTGCCACGTTAAACCTTGCCACACTAAACCTTGCCACACTAAACCTTGCCACACTAAACCTTGCCACACTAAACCTAGCCGTTTTAAACCTCGTCAATTGAGACTCGACAACTTCTAAGCTCGCCGATTCATACCTCTTACTTCTGTTGAGCACAAATTGCCCACACAGCATAGACAGTACGACACACGCATGGACCTCAGTGTCTTATTATGACTGTCTCGATTCGGTGCTGATTAGATACTATCCTTCGTCACTAATCACCTGTACTGGCAAAAAGAGCACGATTGCCCTTTCAAATGTTTCACACAAACCTGCAACGTACTGCGTATCTATGGAAGAACATGGTGCGCGGCCCAATAATACGGCGGCATTTTGTACGCAGTACTACATAGCGATCGTGATATTGGAGTAGCTCCTCTAACTTAGTTCCCACAAGCAGAGTCTTCAACGACCTTCCAGACGAATACACTCTCAATATAACGAGCTGGTAGAGACATACACGAATTTAGAATCCCTAAGTTTGTCTTGGTCTTCTTGAATCTCAGTTGTTGGGAACCTCGACTTTGTCTTCCCTGTTATCCGTGCCCCTGCGGAAGAGACCACTCCAAAGATACGGATAAACGGTCGATGATTAACAGTCTTCGTAATCTGTCCTTCTTTCTCTTCGTCTTCATCTTGACACGACCAACTATAAAATGCGCCTTATTTTCATGATCTTATACATCTTAGCGGCCAGGCAACGCTCTGGACGGCTCAAGTCGATCTTGCTTCCGCTATTGTTACGTCTTGAACGGGTGGCGCCGAAGGTGTGGTACCTTTGCTCCTGGCAGGTTATATGCCATGTGCCGCTAAATATGATATTGTGTTTGATGAATTCGTGAAAGAGGCTGGCCCAAGTTCATTCAAGAAGCATGTCACGTGCCAGCTATGGCAGACCTCCGAGACATAGCGTCAGAAACGTGTGGATGCTATTACTTAAAGGACCCCGCCTCTCAAGTGTTGAAAGGGCTCTTCAGAGATCAACAATTCAATCATTGGTCTCCGTTTCTCACAGTTTCGTCGTGATTATGCTCCATATAAAGCAGGTGCCTAAGTATTGTCTATCTAGAGCTAAGGAAAACAGAAAGCAAGGATTGAGGCGCAGTCCCGAGTGTGGGTTTATATCGCCCATCGAAGAACATTCTTGCAGCCATCGGCTCCGCAGAGCGGAGCCGGGGCCTGGGACCTGAGGCCGGGCATAACCCACCGGACCCGGGACAGCCGGGTCCACCAAGCCGGGCACAGCCCGTACCAATCCGTCAGTCAGGTCCGCGTCTTGCCGCTCTCAAACGCATAAGTTCGTGTTCTCGGCTACTTCGGGTCGAAAGGCGTTTCCTTTGGGCACTGCATGAAGCGGTGCGTGGCTTGTTCCTCTTCTTTTCTTGGCTCCTGCACCGCGAAGATGCTGCTAGTTGGTCATTCGGCGTGACAAGGCTAGAAGAAAAAGAGTCATATCGAAGGTCTCCGTGATTTGGCTCCAAGGCTTCATTCGCTATGAAATAATTATGTGAGAAACAGTATGTGCAGAAGTTAATGGGTCGGGAAGAACTGTTACCTTGGGTCATAGAAATGCTCTGTGAACAGGATGGTATTTGTTCTTTGATAACTCTTCTGCATTCAGAACGGAGTGATTGAAAGTGAACACCATCGATAGCTGCTGATGTCGTGTTTGCGGAATCATCCTCTTGCTCCACCTCTGAACCTTCAATCGAGAGGGTTCGCGAGGCCGCGAAGTGCCTGGGGGAGCTTGTAGGGTGTTCATGCAGTCTGCCCTGCTCTTGCTCCACCAAACTCCTAAATCTGTCCAGTCTCTCCTGCTCCAGAAGCGAGTCTCGTCTCAACTCTTCGAGTCTTGCATTCTGGTCTCGCACTTGACGGCTTATCCCGTCGAGCCTTCCCTGCTGCATCACTTCCTTCCGCGCCAACTGTTCAAGCCTCCTACTTTGGTTTCCCACTTGCTGATGCGTGCTGTGGAGCCTCGCTCGCTCCAATTCAAGCTCCTGCCTTATAACAGCCAAGCTTACGTCTTCTTCATCCCTCGTTGTGGGCTTTCCGCTGAATGTTGCTTGTTCTTCCCGCCCGGTGTCGGTAGTTGTCATCGCTACATCATCGCTTGTAGCAATATCTGTTATACTAACACTTCCGATTGACGGTGGTAGTCCGAAATAAGCGCAGTAGACGGACCACCGTACGAATGTCGATGTTATTTCTTGACAGTCTTTATTCACACGCACCAAAATCTCAATTCGCACGCACCCCACATTCAGCCACAGCATAGCCACAAGAACTCCGACTTCGCCAACGATCCCGCAGACAGCATTCTTGGGACTTGTCAACGCCAGTTATGAAGCGAAGGAGATATATCCATTTAACTCCTGTGTTGGAGATGCTTGTCACAAATTCCAATCTAGCATTTCAGTAATCCTTCTATAATTGAGCCCTAATTGTACAATAGGATTTGGCAGGAAGTCCTATTGTAGGACGTCCTTCCACGGTTCCACCAGGCTCATGGTGTCACGCGCCTGGGACGTAGCCTGTAGGCCCTGCCCCAAGGGAGTGAGACTCCGTAACAACACGGAGGAGAGTCCGTGGAAACACGGAGGAAGCTGGTGTATTAACAGAGGCCTCGCTCCCCAACCTAAGTTGGTGAGTGGCCAGAGATCAACAATTGCATCGATCGCCTCCGTTCTTCACTCTCTGTTACAACGTGGCTGTGCGCCTAACACATGAGTACTTCCAGTACCTGAGGTTATATCCGTACAGTATTCTGAAAATTTGCAGATAGTGTTTTCAGTTCAGTTGAAACAAGAGTAACTGACAGTCTGGAAGTGGCTGGAATACACCAGCTTCACTAAGCACAACAGGCTCACAGCGCGACCTAGCAACGTTCAATCGCCATGGCTTCTCCAGCTCTGATTCCGGCGCTTCCTCCGACGCTTCCCGAACCAGGTGGAGAGTTACCAGTCGATTCAGCCGATGAGTTCAGCGAATCCAACGACTGCGACGATTTCCACGACAACGACGACTGGGATGGTCAGCCATGGGAGGTAGTGTTTCCATCGGACTCTCCCCTACTGACAACAAGCTATGAGTCTTTTGATCGACTCCTTGATGTCTTGAAAGCGTTCTGCATTCAGAATCGGATGGGCATCGTTACTATACGAAGTCAGAAGGATAAGGCGAAGAAGCGAACGATAAAATATGAACTTGCATGTGACAAGAGTCGGCATTTCAACCCAAAGGCATCCGTGGCCAAAATTCGCAATACGAATACAGCAAAGATAGCCGCCAACTGTCCATTCAAAGTCATCGTTCAATCCCTCCAGGCCAACAATTACGAGTGGTCCATGAGAATTGTGAGCTCTCTTCATCGAGACCACGGCCCATCGCAAAGTCTTTCGGAGCACTACCATTGGAGAAAGTTAACGGCGGAACAAATGAAACTATTGGAAGATCTTTGTCTGGACACTACGATTTCTTCTCGATCCGTTCATAAGCAGCTCTGCCATAAGTGGCCCAAGATCCCTGTTCGCAGAGCAGATATTTATAACTGGAGATGGAAAGTCAACCAGGCAAAACGTCAAGGCTATGGTCCCGCCAACGATTTTGTTAGGACGCTTTCTGAGTCGAAGAAAGTCTGGATATGGGGGCTAGACTGGATCGAAGATGAGTTCCGTTTTCGCCACGCCGCTTGGGGATACCACCAGGGCGGCAAAATGTGGCAACAGTTCTCGTCGTGTCTCCAGATCGATGCTACGTACAGTACCAACTGCTATAAAATGCCATTGGTTACTGTTGTAACTGTGTCCTCGGAGAAGACATCGATGCCTGTCTGTTATGGTCTACTCAATAACGAGCAATATGCTAGTTTTGAGTGGTTTCTAAAGCAGGTATCTAGATTCCTACGAGCAGGCATCATTAGATCCCCAGAGGTCGTTATCACAGACATGGACGATCAGCTGCGCAATGCCATACGACAAATATTTCCCAACACGCAACTTCAGCTATGTGTTTTCCATATCAACAGCAATGTGGTCTCATACATCAAGAAGTGGTGGAAGAAGGATAATGACTCTGATCTGGACGATGACGCAGAAAATTGGGACAATACCGATGCTCTTGACGTCCAAGAGATGGAACGTGAGAATACCGAGGTGAAAAACATGAGGGACGCGAAGCTTGGTTCTCTTCCCAAACGAGTCCTTAATACTCGTGCCGGCCTGTATCTCCTCTGGAGATTCATGGTCTATAGCAGATCGGAAGAAGACTTCATTCAGGCTTGGAAGCAACTTCAAGAGAGCTTTCCGCAGCAGAAGCGAATTCTCCGATACCTCAAGGACACGTACTTGCCACTGAAGAAAGAGTGGGCCTGTTGCTTTACACGATATTATCGCAACTTCGGACTAATTACTACATCACCCGCCGAATCAAATCATCATTCCCTGAAGACGTACCACCTGTCCCTTCGGTCCGACCTCCCGGACGTCGAAGCGGCGGCTGCTAGTCAGACGGCGGATAAGCGTCAACTGTATAAAGATAAAATACAACAGGCTAATACCACTATTCGGAACCAGTTCTCGGGGAAGAGAATGGCTCGGCCAGCTCCCCCCCTAAACGTGACTCGTTGGGCGCTAGACCAGCTAAACGAGATGCACCGAGTTATGGAATCGAGCCGGGTCTCTAAGAAGGCACTGCCGCAATGTTCTGGATCCACGAGGGCTCAATACGGTCTACCCTGTGCTCACAGGCTCTTGGAGCTAGCTCGTCGAAAGGAACCACTCAAGAGGCAAGACCTAGATCCATTCTGGCATCTCAAGCGATCACGAGACATTGATGATCCTCTCCTTCAAATACAACGTCCTCTAATGGGGATACCTAAGGGTCGACCACGCAATGGCGAACCATTTGGCAACGAACGCGCAATCCCAGAGAAGCAGCTAGCCCCTCAAGGCTCAACACGGAGTGGCGTCCAGCGCTCAGCGCGTCGAAATTACTCTCAATTCGAACTGGGGCAACGCTGGAGGAAGAATATGCAGCAGACGCACAAGACAAACCGCGACGTCGGCCGAAACGGAGTAAAGTTGTCGAGTCAGGAAGCACTCGAGTTACGCGCCGACAGGCGAAGACACAGGACGACAGCAGCAAACGAGCTGAACGGTGTAACTCTTCTGAAATGACGCAAGATCTGGGAGTAGCAGACTCGTGGCTTGCCAACGAGGGTGGTAAAGATACGGTTGGCGACAGCATTACTGTTGCAACGAATTAGACTCCTGCTCGCCAAGGAGTTGGAAATGTCAGACATCCGCACCAATGGTTTATTGGGCTCCGATCTCGGAGGCGCTGTGGCTGAATGTGGGGGGGTGCGTGCGAATTGAGATTTGGGTGCGTGTGAATAAAGACTGTCTATTTCTTTTCGCTCGACGTCGACCTCATCCTGCATCTGAGGAAGAAAGAGATGAGCTTTGTCATAATCATGATCAAGAGCATTCGGTCGGCCGTATCGCTTTGGTGGCTGGTCGTGTTCTCTGGTAACCTCTTGTCCCGCAACCAGTCCGCTGCTTCTAGGGCTAGGTATTGCAGCTGCGAACGCACCCAGGATCTGCTGGATGCATTCTTCCTGGTCACAATAGTGATACTGATCGGGCTTACGAGCTGTAAAAAGTGCTTGCTCGGCAATCTGTCGATCAATGGGCTTCTGCAAGATATTACTGATCTTGTCAGAGTCGAACCCCAATCGAAAGGCAAGAGAGGCCAGTTCATACAAAACTGTCTCATCTGCCTTCGTCCGTGATAGTGCTAGGATGTCTTCTCGCTCTGCTCGATCACTGCTCGCTTCAGCAAAAGCAAATCGTGGGGCTTCGGGGTGATGAAGTCGAAATACAAGTATCTGTAAATAGCTTAGTGTCGCGATCTTCCAGGGTAGGGACCGGTCTAGGTCTGTCGGTTTGTTAGCCACACTGACCCTCACAGGCCATCCAGGGAGAGACATGCTCAAAGCTATGATCAGCCGCCGATCCTATCAGCCGGCACTGGACCCTGACGTACGCCGGTTTATGAGAAATTGCAATGTATGCGGGAAGAGCAACGTTTGGAGAGAGAAACGGCGTGGCCTCTTGAAGCCACTACCTATCCCTGACCGGATATGGTCCGAAATCTCTATTGTCTGAGCGATGAGGACGGCTCGTTTCTAGGTAAGCTTCTGGTGCCGTACGAGAGCTGACAGCAATATTCGAGCAAAAGCTCACTGGGCAAAGACGTTCGAGTACCACCCCATCTCAACCTCATTAATCAACCCCCATGTATCCACCATCTCGGCCAACTTGTGATCCATTCTCTCGACTGCCAAAACCTCCGCCACAGTCCTGTACGCCGAATTAACCGCCTCGATAATCCAAGCATGTCCTGAACTCAACGCCTCGCCAGCAAAATGTAGCTTCCCCTCGGCGGCTGGCATCATCAAAGCCGGCAGCATGGAGCTATACTCACTAGGGCCGAAAATGGCAAACGCGCCCACTGTATCTTGGCCTTCGTACCAGTTCCACAGATGAGAGTCGACATACTGCGATTCGAGGAATTCATGTCACGTTGTGCATGGCGGCGAGGTTCCGAAGGGTGATTTCAATGATTCTTTATAGGACGGGTAGACGCAACGGCGGATGGGGAGGTCGGAGAAGGATTGCCCGCCTTGAAAGGAGCCTGAGTCAAGCCTCTCCCACCTACAGGTTAGGAGTTAGTTGAGCTCATGGCAGGGGAATGATCAATACACACTATCGGCTCTTGAACTTCATGTCAATTTTACCAGCAGGGTCGTACTGGAGCCTTCTGATGGCGAGCTTCTTGCGGTAGTCGAGATCTAACTCGGTCATGTCCATTACTTGCATGGCGCCCAGGGGCACAGTGTTGATGACATGATTATAGGTTCTCTCTTCATCGCCATTGATGACAACCTTTAAAGTACCGTTGTCTGCTGCCTTGATTGCTGTGACTCGTTTTGTGGTCTCGACTGTCTTACTGATGATTTTAACCAGTCCGTCAACGATGCGGCCCATATCGCCTTCAACGCTGTCACACAGAGTACATCAGCCTCCAACAGTCTGAAGCCCTGACTCGCACAGTAGTCACCAGTTTAACAGTCACAGAACCTTCCATCAGGTTCTAGTCGTTCACTCGCATCGCCTATAAAGATGCAGCACATTATACACTCCAGATAGGAGAATCAAGAGTCTTCCAGTCCCTGATCTTTATGCTCACTTGCTCATCCTCCGTGCGATAAACGCATTGCCAGCTACTAAGAGGGGCCTCGTAAAAGATCCACTGTTCCATAACGGCTTCTGAAAGAGAATAGGTGTCGTAGTGTGTGGTGGCGTCGGCGATTGTCTCGATCCAGTCTATCTGCTGGGGAGAGTAACCTTTTTGGAGCAGGTACTGCCGCACGGAAATTGCGTCGTATTGCATTAGAATAAAATACTTCGAACACCCGTTAAGTTGCCAATGCAAGGGGCTTAACGGCTGAATATCCAGCCCGAAGGGTGAATATCGTATACCTGCACTCGACTTTCTTAAGGGGTACCCACTAGAACCCCCCTTCCGCCTTCAGCGGCTAACCAGCCGTTCGAACTACTTCCTGGCAGGCCCAGTCTAACTATAACCCTATATCGTACCCCCCCCCCTTCCCTGTAGCTTGTAGGAAGACGACGTTTAGTCACGGTAGAGTGGTGGATACAGTGGATCGCTCAGCTGTTGACCCTGACGCCGTTGTTGGTCAGCGAGGCGCATCTTCATCCCTGTCTCATAGTTAGCCGTGAATGCAGTACGTAGGAAACGCAGGCGTATAACCTTCCGTCGGCGTGTGGTTATAGAGGCTCTGACGATCGAACGGCGCCTCAAGGAGTAAGCCTTGGAGCGAGGTAACCCGTGAGACGGCAACATAGCTAATACCGGCCTGGAAGTCGCGTGTAGCGAGATCAGTAACTATTTTATCCTTTGTTAGGCTCTGGCATTTGTGAACAGTAATAGCAAACGCCACGATTAGGAAACTGCGTGCGAGCGCAGGTCTCGTTGCCCACAAGGAAGTCCCGCCTGACTGGCAGGATGGGGTGAGATTTTCCTGCCCTCGTTAGTTGTTAGATACGGCGGTCCGTCGTAGCTATCAAAGTCCACCATAATAACGGCTGGGGTCTTCCATGGATCGGCGCCTGCGCTCCAGGCGATATCGTATACAGTACCCTGAGCACCGTTAACTAGGCCAGCTGATTGCCACAGATTAGTCGTGAGCATCACCCTGGTGCCCTTAGCAACAGGGAACTTGTTAGATAGATTGCCAGCATTGTTGCTTGGTGCCTGCCCAGCGCCGTTGCCGTGATTCTTTGCCTCCACTTGTATTGCCGGGGCGTTGAGATGCACCATATGCTCGTGGTTGTATTGGTTGACCCGTGCCTTTGTAGAATACACTCGCAAAGCGGTCCTGAAGCCGTCAAGCTCGCTCCGCGGTAGCCTGGCCTGTACCCGATTGCTAAGGAGGTTCCAGGATGGTATAGATAACTTTACATCACGCAGTTCCTGCAACGCCTGACGGAACTGGGCCTGATCATCACCAGCCTGGCGCTGTGCCGTGGTCAGGAAGACGGTGCGGTCAAATAGGCGGTAGGCCACCTGCCCTCTCCTTTCCAACGAAGACAGGCCGGTGCTAGTCGAATACAGGGGCTTTTGTCGGACTGGTGGTAACTGGAAGAAATCGCCCACAAGCACAACGCTCACACCACCAAAGAACTCGAGGTTACGCTGTGGAAAGGCTTGTCGCAAACGGGAATCGATCCGCGCGAGCTGCTCAAGCCCTAGCATGCTCTTTTCATCGATAACGAGGTATTTGATGTGCCGTAGGCGGGACTGAAGGGCGGCTGCGTCGGCCGGGGGAAGGTCGGTGAAAGTACCGCCTACTGGGAGGCGCAGCAACGAATGAATGGTGCTGCCCTGTATCTGGTTACTCGCAACGCCTGTTGGCGCCACGCGGCATATAGGGCTAGGATTCGGTAGGGCGGCTGCCTGAAGATGGGAAGAAAGCACCTTGATAAGGAACGACTTGCCTGTGCCACCACCACCATCAACGTGGAGAAGGATTTGAGCAGGATTTTGCGCCTGGAAGTGGCCCATGAATGTGTCGTACACGAGCCGTTGTTGCGTATTCAGCGTATTACGCCAGTGAGGGCCAAGGACCTCCACATCGTTGGCCATGGGGTGGCTAGCGATAAGGTCTTTCCAGTAGCCGTCTCGGAGTTCCGGATAAGTACCCACATGCTGTGTCCAGTCGTAATTGATGTCGATATCGCGGCGGCCAAGTAGGTCAAGATCTTCCTGGGTAAGGGAGTTGTCAGGTAAAGGGCGGCGAGGCGAATCCAGTCTTCGTCATCAAATTCTTCCTCCACAGGCAGAGCCTCGTATTGATCATCTTGAGGCTGTAATCGAGCCTCTTTTGGCCGACCGTAATGGTCATCACCATGACTGTGATGCTGCCAACAATAGGAGAAGGCCTCAGCGTGAGAACCAAAAGCTGGCCGTCAACTGTGAGGAGATCATCAACCCGCCGATGTGGGTGGTTTAATGTTAGCTTTACACGACAGTAATCTGACCACTGTTGACCTTCTGGATCAGCCTGATAGCGAGGAAAGTAAACCAGCACTCGAGGCCTGCCGTTAATGTTGCCTGGCTGCCATTGCTTCCACTTGGAAGGGTCCCTAGGGCGGAAATTCCAGCATTTCAGGAAGGAGACGTAGCTTAGGTCCGCTAGGGCTTCCGGGCGTTGAGTGTACTTTTCGTAAACGTTGGGGCCTCGTCCACCTCATCGCCGTCAATACGGAGGAGCGGGAATGCCTGTCAGGATTACGACAGTCGACGTACAGGCAAGTTCGTGACCCTTCCTGTAACGGCAGGCCGAGGAGCAAGTGGCTGACCTCCTGCTTCGAGTAATCCCGCTCCGCAACCAGCTGATTGAGGAGCTTTGACGTGAAGGAAATCAAGGGTTGTGGTCCTTGACCCGGGGCATCAGGGCCTTCCCAATCTGGGCAAAAGACTCGCTCTTCTTTTCCGACTTGGAGCAGTATTTGGCCGCGTAATCGATTACCTGCTGTAGACTCGTGCAAGGCGAAACATCTGTATTGGCTAGCCACGCAACGGTAAGCAAGCGGTTGTAGTGGTTAATCTGGCCATCGTTCCGCTCGCCCCTAAAGCTCCAGTGTTTAGAGTGAGGAACCTTGTCAAGGGAGGCTAGTAGGCGCTGGCCGTGAGGAAATCCAAAGCGGCACTCCACCTGCTTGGTATGCTTATTGAGCTGCATGCAGTAGTTGTTGCAGCGGTGGCGTTGCACGCGGTTGACTACCATCGATAGGAACTGAACGGTAAGGGGATGTTCCAGTAGATTACCGATCAGGGGGTTCCCTTCCCCAGGAGCCTGTATTCGCTGTGGCTCTGGGTTCACTGCAGATACGTGGTATCCCCAGATGCGAGCGAATTGCTCCGGGACTGATCGTTGTCAGGATCTAAGTCTGGGTGGCCACTTAGCCAATATAGGCCGTGGTGGTGACTGGAACCCTGCCCTGCCACTCGTAGCGGCCCCAAGAGTCCGTTAGGTTGAACTTCTGCTTCAAGACAATAGCCCTAAACAGCGCATAACGCTTATGAAAGTGGTACGCAGCGATGTGGGCGTTGTCTCGCAGTAGTTGCCGGGATAGAGCCATCCGCGCCGCCTCAGGAGCTGTTTGCCACTCGTCAAATCGAGGCATATGGCGGTATAGGGATTCCCAGTGGTAATCGGCTGCACTTGCAGTAGCGAAAAGGCCGGGCTTGCCTAGATTATAGGCATATGCTTCCAACTCCTTCCTTTGTTTATACCAATACGGCCGGGTGCCCTAATTACTGCGGCTTGGCGCGTGATCGACTGGATCAGGACCTGAGCCTCCGGCTCGTCAGGCTCAGCCATTGCTTCCTCTAGGTCGGCGCGTGTAAGGGGCTGACGGCGGCTGTCGCGTTGCTTGACGAGGTAGTCACTTCGCTTTCGGACCTGCGCACGTAACAGCGTGTTGAGGGCGACGAAAGGCCACGTCTTATGGCGGGCGAAACGTCCGTCATGCCATCTCATCGCATGGGCAAGGTAGTCCTGGAACGTGATGCTCCGTAAACGAGGCTCCACGAAGTCGGCCTTGCCGTCAGGGTAGAGGGTAGGGAATGCAAGCGTTAGCAGCGGCTGGGAACGGTTGAATTCGTCGATGGGGGTCCTGCGAACTGAAGGCAGCGGCATCTGGTGGTGAGCCTGCGCGTTACACGGTATATGCTCCACATCAGTCATACGCTCAGGGTTAGGTACCATCAAGAAATCGGGACTGCAGAGCGTTCAATTCGGTATCGGTAACCTGCAAATTCGGGATCGCTGATGCATCGGCATCGCTAGGATCCTCTTCCACAGCCTCCTCGACGGGGCCTTTGGGGACCTCGCCGTCAGGTATGTCAGCCACTTGGCTGGCAATGGAATCAACTATGTTGCCATCAAGAGGAAGCCGGTGCAAGCGATTCTGACTCACGACGATATCGCGATAGCCCCGGTGGTGGCGCTGTAGGTAGTGCAGCCACGCCAACAGGCATGAGCGGCGTACCCGCAAATCGCGAGCAAACTGTTGCCGGAAGCGAGGGCTGCCCTCCATATTAGGAGGCCGCAGGAGGACGACATCTAGCTCTTCAGGTAGGACCGGGAGCTCTTCAAATAGCCTGCCAACATTGCGAAGGAAGTGGACAACATGACCGCGATATTTATATTGAGCGCCACGTACCTGCAGGACCTTCACATGTACGTGAACTCTAGCAATGAGCATCTCCTCGACCATCGTTAGATCGGGTAGATCGCTCGGGACTTCCCAAAGTCAAGGTTGTTCGCAGCGCTAAAGAAGTAGGGCTCGTTGGGGCCTTTCTTCCTGTCTCGACTAATGCAGCGGCTGCAGATTTTCAAGCTATTTCGCTTCATATCGAACCAACGCTCCTGGCAGCGAATGCAACTATGCATCTTGTCGTCATTCAGGGCAGTATAGAACTCGCGCACAAGGGCTCGATCCCCCTCACAAAGGGCAGGCAAGTCAAGGTCCCCTGTAAAAGGCGGATCAACTATCTGATCGAACTGTCGCTCTTCAGGCTGTGGCCGTGGCCGGGGGTTAATGTTGACTCGACGTGTATAGCGGCCGCGGCGACGACTCTGTGGCAGTAATGAAGGAGGGGTACGAGGCGATTCCTTCGGTATAGGCGTGCCTTGCACAACAGAAGCCGATGGGAGAGTGCCTTGAGGAATTGGCGTTTCTGGAATCGGCGTGCCCAGAACTACTGTTGGCAGGCCAAGGGTAGGAGGGGTGGGAAGGTCCTCTACCGCGCTTGAGGTAGATGGCCCCGGCAGAGGTCTAGGCAGTCCCTGGAGTGCGGGCGCCAGGGCACGGCATAACGTAGATGTGGCAGGGGTCGTAAGACTTGCACACACGCAGGCGTTGGCGCAGCCCGCCTTGGAGGCGTCAGGTTAGCTAGAGAATCGGTCCGTTTCGTGGCTCTGCGTGGCGATAGCCTCAAGGCGAAATTCCGCATTGCGGCAACGGCGGCTCGAGATTCGGTTACCCGTTCCTTTCGGCGTGCCCTACAGCTAGCACAGTCTCTTGTAAACTTCGTAGGGTCCTTGACGCTTCGAAATTCGACTTCGGGCAGGTCTTGCTTGCAGGTATGGCAATTCCGAACTGCCTGGGGTATGTCGTCCTCCATCTGGCCGTATATGTATCCACCTCTTACCCTTCAGACTGCTAGAAGAGACAGAATAACCGGAGAATCTTGGGAGGTGGGCCGGCTGCCGAGGTAATAGGTGAACCTATAAACCGTTAGTAACATGATTAGTTTGATAGATTGGGCAGAAAGAGAAGCAGCCGCTATGTAGGTTAGTGTAAAGAGTGCCTAGCGACCCAGTAAATTGATGGCATGGATGGAAGAAAGGAAGAACTGGAAGCTCTTGGAGAGCCTGCCAAGCTGGCCAGTTACCTAGTCAACGCTCAGGGGTAATTTTTGCGGGCCTTCATTTGGTGACGTTATCGGCCGACCAATCCGCGCACGAGTTGAGCACAAGCCAGGCCAATTAGCCAATCAGAGGAGGTTTTATGCTCGAATCTTTCTGACTGAGTAGAACGCCCTTCGGGCTGAATTAAATCCTGTGTCGAAATCTGTTACCAATGCTTGCACCAAGTTGTTAATCGCGCCACTAAGCACAACACTAGGCGACAGGGCAGCGAAAGTGCCTTGAGGAACGAGGAACGAGTGACGAAAGGTTCTTGCCTTGAGGAACGAAAGGATTTGCCTTGAGGAACGAAAGGATTTCTATGCCGCGCTTTTTTGCCCCCCGAATCCGCGCCTCTGATTCGCTAGCTTTCTCGGCTTCCCGTTGGCTAGAAAAATTGCCTCTTGCCTTGAGGAACGAAAGGACTTTATGCCCCACCCCCGGTTTTGCCCCTCGAAATCCCCGCTTCTGATTCGCTCGGTCGATTGGCTACGGTCATTTCGCCTTCGGTTGGGCCTTTCGCCTTCTGTTTGTCATGTCCTGGGGCATCTGATTCGCTTGTCCGTGCCCTGAGACTTCTGATTGCCCAGAATAATAAACCGCTTTCGCTTCTGGCCCGTTGAAACCCCCTTCCCATTCGCTTGTGCCGCCTGCTCCACCGGTCGCCCCGACCCAATTTTCCCATTAGTAATGAAGTCCTTGCAAGGGTCGGGGTGGGGCATAGCTAAGTTATTGGTGTCGCGCCCTCTTGGGTTAAGTTACCTACTGCTCACCGTCTCTGTCCCCCGCGCTCTCACCGAGCCTGTTGCACATCGCTTCCCGAACAGTTCTATCGCTCAGTTCCTCCAGCCTCGCTTGTGCGGCGGTCATCTCCCCGGGGACCCGGTTTCCACTAGGTCTCTCTCGCACTTTCGACACGAGCATGATGCCGTCCAGCGTCGGGCACCGTGACAGCTGCACGTATAGGCTGTACGGGTCGCACTGCGACGGGACGGCGCGTCCGCCGACGTTTGTCGTCCTCGTCCCCCGCAGCTCGAGCGCCACGCGCTCCAGCGTCCCCCCCTGCACCTTGTAATCCGTGCACGCGAAAGCGGCGGCGCACGGCAGGCCCTTTCGGCTGACGTCGTTCTGCTGCCACGGTCGCTTCCGTTGACACTGGATCCTGACGCTCATGGGCGTCAGCAGGATCGTGCCGGGCGGCATCCCGACGAAGTGGAAGTCCTTGGTCGTCTTCGACCCCAGTATTATCGCCGCCGGCGGCCGAAGTGGATCGTCATGTCGGCCGAGATCCGATGCCCCGGTGCGCCTTGTCGACGATGACCTCCACCGCCGTGTAGCTAGCACCGTTCACCAGCTTCAGCCCCTGGTGGGTGTTGTGGTTCACGACGACCGGCATCCCCGGCACGAACATGAAGACGGCCGGCACCGGGATCGCGCTGTCGTCGCCCTGGTTCAGCATCATGATGGCCTCTTCCTCGGTCGGCAGGCCGTCCTTCCACTTGTGCTCGGAGAGGAAGATGCGCACCGTCGACCGCTGCTGGATCTGGAACGCCAGGCTCGCCTCCATGTTGAGGTTCCACCGATTTCTGTTGAGCGGCGTCACCACGGTGATGCCCGTCTCCCACGGATCCGCCTGCCTTCCCGGTGGCACCTCGAGTTGAGGAGATCCAGGTCCGTGTGGTCCTGCACGCCCCCGCGGATCCGCTTCAGCAGCCGCTGCAGCTCCGGGTCGCCGGCGGCGCGCATCTGCTCGTCCAGCATGACGGCCGTCGTGAACCGCCTCCACAGCGCGTGCGCCTTGTCGTGCTGGTGGCGCTGCTCGGCCCTGAACGAGTTGTCCTCGTCCCACGAGACGGCCGCGCTCGGCAGCAGGATCGACCTCTCCTGGACCGGGCGGAACTGGTGGAAGTCCCCGCAGAAGAGGACGATGGGGATCCCGCCGAAGTCCCGCTGCGATCCCCGCAGCTGGCAGATCCGCTCGTTGACGGCGTGCAGCGTCCGCGCGCCGAGCATGCTCACCTCGTCGATGACGAGCATGTCCTTATCCTGCCAGTCCATCCGAGACTGGCCGTTGACGAACCGCTCCGCCTGCCTCGGCAACCGCACGCCGTCGACGTCCCTCGCCGTGTTCGCGCCCGGCCCTTGGTCCTGGTGAAGCCGCAGGCCGAGTGGATGGTGATGCCGTTGACCGCGCGGCGGCGGTCCCCGACGTCGCCGTGATCAGCAGGCGATGCGAGAGGTCCTTCGCGGCGAAGAGGCCCACGAGTGCTTCGATGACGCGCGACTTGCCGGTGCCGCCCTCGCCGCCGACGAACTGACAGAGCTGGCTGACGTCGCCTCCGTCTCCTTGCCGCATCGAGTCCAGGTGGCGGCATATTATGGAGAAGGCAATCGCCTGCTTCTTGTTTAGCGTCAATCGTCTTGTCAAGTCTTTCCCGGCCTCGTGAAAGGAGGTGGATGGGCCGAGGCGGACTTCCATGCCGGCCTCCGCGTTACCTGCCCTCTCCTCGGTTTCCACTCGCGTCACCTGGACGTCTTCCTCCCCGAAGCCGGCGAGCACGCTCCGCTCCGCTGCGCCGCGATCGGTACCGTGGGCCGGGGCCATGCTTTGTATGCCCTGGATCATCTTCACCTCTCTCTGGAGGCGCATGTCTGCTGCGACTTGATGGCCTTGACCTGATCCTGCGGCGGCACTGCAGCCCCGGAGAACACCTGCCCGGGCATGTTGATGTGCCCCCCACCCCGTTCGGTCACGACGGTGGCCCGGAGCTCGGCCGTCGAGGCTAGCGCTGATTGCTGGAAGCGGGAGAGCTGCTGCATCATTCCCGAAAGCTCCCGCGACCCCGCCGTGATCTGGTTCGCGCCGGTCGCGCTTCTAACGACATCGATCAGTCGCGTTGCGTTTCCGACGTTGTCGGACTGGTACGCGGATCCCGCCTCGCGGTCCGCCTCGCCCGGCCCTCCCCATCCTCCCCAATCGCCAGGTGCGCCGGCCGGATCCCCGTCGCCGGACGACGCTGCCCATTGCTTGGCGTCTCGCTTTGCGTCCTCGGCGGACCGCCGGAGTAGTTGAACGTTATCGACGAGGCACGAGGTTCTTGGCGGAAGCCGCTCTCGTGCGCGCCTCCATATCTCGTTGATGTCGCCTCGCTCTTCGCTAAGAAAGGTCTCCACGGCGCGAATAGGGCAAGATGCTGCACGGCTGCTCTGTAGCGGCACGGTTAGTCACCGCGCGTTGGGACCGCTTTTCGACCGGCCATCCACCGCACCTACTTACCGGCGGTGGCATTGTTCCTCGTCGTCTTGCTCGAAATCCTTGCTAAGGTGGCCGTCAAGGCAGACGACGGCGTGCTTTCCTGGCCGCCTCAATACCTGCACCCAGTCTTTGCCGGCCACCCAGCCGCTCTCGAAAGGCACCTCTCCCCAGGCACCGGAGCACCCGTCCTTGCCGACGCGTTGGAGCCTGACGAGCGAAACATAGTCATATAGGCACAAGCCTCGTAGGACGTGTCCGCGATGATGGTACGCCTCGGCGAAGCTGATCCTCTCGCCTGCTTCCTCCACGGCGACCGACTCGTCCACGGACACGTCTGCGACCGCGGTGCCGCTCTCCTGCCGAAGGTGTCGCCAGCGCCTGGAGACGTGCCAGTAGAGCACCGACACGTTCAGGTACGCCCAGGCGCTGCTGCTCGTGAACTCGCTCGGGTATCCCAGGAGATGGGCGACGACCTCGACTTGCGACAGGGCGCGCTCCGTGAATATCCTGTTCGCCACTCTCATCAGAAACTGCCGCGTCTTATTATTCTTGGTTCCGTCGTCGCCGCCGACGACGCCATTTCCGGCATCCTCCCTGGCACCCGGCTGGCCACCTGCTGCGACGACGGGCAGCAGTTCCGCGGCCGCGGCGACGCGCTTCCACGTCGGGTCCTCTACCTTGGTCGCGTAATTCGTCACGTAATAGACGAGAGCCATGGTCTTCCGCTGCGTCGCTATGAAGGAGATGTCGTGGTTGTGGCGGAGCCCCACGGCGATGGCCTTGTTCCACCGATTCACCATGGGATGCGTCCTGCGGATCCGCAGCACGCCGTCCTGTGAGCGTCGTCTCCTCGACCAGCTTCCATGGCGCCTTGAAGCGACAGAGGTCGCCCCTTCGCCCCTTGTTGCCCAGGGAGTACTTGACGCATGTCGGGCTGTGGGTGTGGATCTGCGTCGCGCCGGCGCAGAAGTTGGCTTCCTCTTCGAATCCGGCCGAGAACTGCTCGGCACTGTCCAGCAGGGATGAGACGTCAGACGTCACCGAACGCTCCGCCTGCACGGCGCAGAAGCCTTCCTGGTCCAAGTCCTGCCTTCCGCGTCAGCCTGCGTCTTCTCGGCCCATGACAGCAACGCCCTTGCTGTTACCTACCTCACAGAAGACGCTATCGACATAGCGGATGATTCGCTCACGGTACGCCGCCTGCTCCTCCCCGTGGGCGTCGGAAAGCATGGAGCTCAGGTGCGCGTTTCCGTGTAACCAGAGCAGCCCGTGGACGTGAAGGGATCCTCGTTCGTTGGTCTCCACGGCACCGTAGTAGTGGCCGATGCGCCCGAACACCGACTCCCCTGCATTTACGTAATGCTCGAAGAACAGCGTCATCTCCCGGTGGAAGAACATGGCTGAGCTCATCGGGTCGGAGACGGACAGCCTCACCCGTTTGAACGACATATCGAGGCTCCGCAGGAACTCCTCGGCCGCCTCAGGGTCGCGCGTGCGGTACGCTGCCAGTCGGAGCTTCACCGGGTTCGTGATGTCGTTTGGGTTGATCGTGAACCAGATCGCAGGCACGCCGTAGCGGACGATGAGCGCCAGGATCTTGTGCCGCATACTGAGACGGAGCTCTCGACATGGGCTGACGATAGCCATAGAGCGAGAGGCTCCTGAGAAGCTCTTTCACGCCGTCGTCGGTCGTCTTGCCTGTGCTCTCCAGCTCGGCTCTAGCTGCCGCTAACCCGTCTGCGGTCAGCGACCGTACGATGCGCTCCACCTTGCGGAAGTTCTTCCTCGTCACGCTCAGCATGCTGACGCGGCGGTTCCTCGACCGCACGCCCATGTTGAAGACGAGGAATGCGAAGATGTGGTGCGTCGCGAACCGGCCGCCGTGGCGTCGCAACACCGTGTCGGCCCACGTACGAAGGCTCATGTTCCGGGATGACAGGAGGTCCTGCGCCCCGCCTCCGCCGCCGCGCGCGTGTTGACCGAGCCTCTGCCCAACTGCGAGCTTGCTTCCTCGACCGGCCGCGGCCCTCCGACACCGAATGGTAATAGCGTGGGAAAGGTCTTTGCGAAGAAAGAAGCTTCGAACGAGTCGGCGAATTCATCCCCGCGGCGGACATGGATGAATGGTTCAGGACCATCGACGTGCCCCGGCTGCCCCTTGCCGAGGATTCGACCCACGTCCTCGGGCCCGTACCGTCGTCGGCTGCGCCTTGGCGAACGGAATCGCATGCGAACCGCAGCTTGTCGACGTCGGCCACGTCGGGCGGTCCGTCCAACGCAAACATCCCTGACGAGGTCACCTCGTTGACCGTCTTCGCATTATCATCGGCCTCGCCGCAGCTCTGACCACGCACCTCGTCCACCTCGCTTGCCTCTGGCTCGCCGGCCTCGCGACTCGTCGTGCTTTCCCCCTTGGTTGAGCATGGCGAGGACTTCTTCGATCTCCACCGCCCCCTCGTCGTCCATGGCCCGCTCCGTGGGCGGCACGACGTGCGCCGTCCGCGTCTTCTCCCACGCCGACGGCTCGTTCCGCTCCAGGCGCTCGTACACCAACGGCGGCACCCCGTGGGCCGGGTCTCCCCAGCTCTCCATCTCTGCCGCGTCGATCTCGATCGCGGCGTAGTGGGGGTTGTTCCTCTTCAACCAGACAAGGGCTCTCTCGACGACTCGCCGCCTCACCGATAGGAGACTCGACAGATCGCTCGGTGTCGGCCTTAGCGCCCCCTGCCACGAGACGTGGATCTCGTCCATTACCTGGAAGAGAGGGGTGCGGCAGCACGTCCGTCGCCAGCTCTTGTACGTTGTTTGGGAACACCGTGATGTGGCCCTTGACGTGCTTGGGATACCTTAGCGTCTGCTTCTGGCCGCCTGAGACGTTGTACCTGGTTACGAATCCGTAGCACGAGTTCAGCGCGATCAGCTTCTCCTCCACCGGCGTCAGGCCCTTGAGCTCATCCGGGAACGTGTGCTCACAACCGAGACGTCTATGAAGCTGCGCCGCTGGCGACAGCACACCGCACGCCAAGCGTCGAGAACACTCTGCGCAAACCGGGACAGGCTCGCCCTCGCGGAAGCAACTCCGGCACGCAAATGGCGACCACCCAGCCTTAGGGATAGGACTTGACAACCACTGGTCCCATGCCACCTCCTCAGCTCTTTCTCGTGCGCTTCCGGTAGCACAGCATGCACGTCCGTATCGGCAGCGTGTCCACGTCGTGGAACGCCCGGTAGAAGCTCCGCACCGTTGATACCTTCCTCTCGTGCGGCACTGGTGTGCACCACGTTTGCTCGTTGGACAGCCTCTCCTTCGCGGCGAATTCCTCCCAAGGTGACGTAAGACGCCGGCCAAATCCTCCGCCTGTGACTCACGGCTCCTCTGCCTCCGATGGCCGCCTCGACTACGTTTCGCCTGGGGCTGGTCTCGGTCGGGCAGGCGGTTCCTCTTTCTCTGTTCCACGGGCTGCGCAGATATTGCCGCTGCCTCGTCTCGCCTCGGCCGATCTTGTTCTCCCGCCGCCGCCTGACGTGATGGCCGTGGTGTCAACTGTCCGGATGACTGCAAATATCCGGCTCCATCCTCCATCTCTAGCTTCGATTGGCTGGAGGGGATGCCCTGACGACTCCGGGCCAAGTCCCGACACTGGTTGCCGGCCGACCCGGTCCCGCCTGGCGTCCGCATCGCTGCAAATCTCCTGTCCCATCTTCTATTTCTCTAGGTTGGATTGGCCGAACGAGGACTCCCCGACAACTCGAGACGAGATCCCGACCCTGGTTGCCGGCCGATTCCGTCCTGCCTGGCGTGGTGGCCGTGGTGGCAGCCGTCCGGATGACTGCACATCTCCTGCTCCATCCCCACCTCCTAGATTGGCCGCCTCGAGTACGTTTCGTCAGTGGCTCGTCTCGGTCGGGTTGCCGGTTCCTCTTTCTCTGTTCCGCTGGCCGCGAAGATCTTGCCGCAGCCTCGTCTCGCCTCGGCCGGTCTTGTTCTCCCGCCGCTGCCTCCCCTGATGGCCGTGGTGGCAACCGTCCGGATGAGTGTGTATCTCCGGCTCCCTCTTCCATCTCTTTCGGTTGGATCGGCTGAACGACGTACTCCCTGACGACTACTCTGGGCGAGGTCCCGACCCTGATTGCCGGCCGACCCTGTCCCGCCTGGCGTCCGGGTGACTGCAAATCTCCCGCTCTGTATTTTATTTCTTTAGGTTGGATTGGCCTAATGAGGCGCTCCCTGACAACTCGAGACGAAACCCCGACACTGGTTGCCGGCCGATCCTGTGCTCCTGGGCGGCTTGAGTGTCCGTCGGGGCCCTTGGGCCTCGTCTGCGCACCACCCTTCGCTTTCTAGTCGT